TAAAAAGCTATGCACAGAAGCTGAGACGTTCCTTCTTTCCTGCTTTCTCCTGCTACCAGAATTGTATAACTGCATTAGAGGAATCTGGCTGGTACTTTCTGTTTAAATTGGGGTCTCTCTTGTCTACATGGACAAAGACTAAAATACCTGTTAGCAAGGCTGCTTGGCTATGTACGTTTTGTGGAAGGCTCAGGGTGTGCTGGATGTAGCTGCTGTTCTGCCAGAAGCTTTTATATGTTGTTGCCCGTCTCCCTGTGTAGTTGCTGTCCTTTTCACTGGAGTGTTCTCTTGGTGTCGGGAGCTTTGATGCTGCAATTTCATAATGTTTGCAGCTAAGAAAGTAAATTAATAATCATAGAATCCTTGAATGGTTTGGGTGCAAAGGGACCTTGAAGATCATCTAGTTCCAACCTCGCTGCCATAGGCAGGGATGCCTCCCACCAGACCTGATACACAGAATACAGTGCGTTTCTCAGAGAGTACAGAGGTGCCCCACGTGTCGGCAGTGCTGCTGTGCCCGGGCAGAGGGACGTGCTGGGAGGCAATGCGTGCTCGGGTTCCCTCTGGACACGTCCCTGATACCGCTTCTGGCTGCAGTCACGCCGGGCGGGAAGGTGAAGCTGAGAGTGGGGTTTCTGGAGGAGCGAGCATGCCCTGCCCCACAGCGTGGAGAGGGAAGGTGCCCCCGCTCCCTCGCCCTCCCAGCAGCTGCTGCTTCATTTCAGTTTCTGTTCTGGCTTCTGACTTCAGGAGCCGCGGGGGAGGAGCCTGCCCACCCAGCACCCTGGTTCTGCCTTGCCGAGCTATTTCCATTAAGAAAACCAGCTCGAAGTTTCTAATTGGTAGCAGAAAGTCTCCACCAATACGCAGGAAGTTTATGTCTTTTTTTTTTTTTCATAGCTAGAAGAACTTGGCATCAGGACAAAACTTGCTTTTAATTGTTCTCTGACAGTGTTTTGTGGTTTCTTTTTTTTTGGCTGGGAGAGTAGAAGCACAAAGATTTTGGGTTTGTTTTTAGACCTGAGGCTTCCTGGTTTTCAAAGTTTACTTGCTTAACTGCAGGAAGGCAAGGGTTTGGGTTCAGACTTGGGGCACAGCGCTGAGTTTCTGCCCTTCTGACTCTCTATGACAAGAAACCAGAGGTCATAGTTTTCTACACTCTCTCTCTTGTGTGGAACCTGGCTTCCTTACAGGGAAGTGTGAGACCACACCTGCTTCCCGCATGCTTTGTACCCATGAGAAAACAATCTAGGGTAAAATATGCCGAGCTTAACAACTGAAATGCCTGCCTTTAGCCCAGGTTGACTGCCCAGCACTGCTTGGCACAAGGAAGTTGGTGAATTGTGTCTAAGCACCAGCAAAGCCAGTGCTTAGAATAGAGTGGTGTGGGAAGGAACATCAATGACCTCAAGCTATTTTGAAAGCTGGATAAAATGGCAGAAAATGCAAAAACCTTGAAAAGAGACAAATACAGGTAAAGACAGTGGCAGTAAGGGAGATGTGCAAAAGGCTGCCTGCTGAAGGGCAATGGCAGCCAGCTCAGTTGGGCGATCAAACTGCCCACATTTTTTGCACTAACTGTCCCATTTCCCTTCCATCTCTTTTAGAAGAGCAACTAGGAATGGCTGTCCCAAGCGTTGTGACCATCCAGCCTCAGTATGGCATGGTGGGACCCACTGCCTCGAGGAACATCTGGCAGACAGGCCTGATGGACTGCTGCACTGACTGTGGTGTCTGTGAGTGCCTCGGGCAGTCCTGTCTCTCAGCTGTCAGCAGTGATGTGCTGCAGTTGGTCCCACACCCCCGTGGGACACTTTTCTCTCGCTGGGAGCCTGGTCCTCCCAGTTCCTCCTCCAATGCTGGCAGGACCAGGCGGGCAGGCAGAGCCTCATCCACCTCTGTGTTTCTCCCTCTGCCAGGCTGCTGCGGGTTATTCTGCTTCCCCTGCCTCGGCTGCCAAGTGGCTGGGGACATGAATGAGTGCTGCCTGTGCGGGACCAGCGTGGCTTTGAGGACCATGTACCGCACCAGATACAACATCTCGGTCAGTGGTTAACCCTTCCCCTCACCTGGTCACTGGTTAACCCTCCCCCTCACCATGCTGAAAGACGAAGTGCTCCTGAGGCCTCTTTCTGTGTACCCTAGGAATGAGCAAGGTGTGATAATGCTCTGTGCTCACCCTTTCTTTCACTTGTATATCCTGCATGATGCTGAGAGCACAGGAGTTGGGATGTGCTCAGCCAAGCTGATGCCTGGGCTACTGTCCAACAGTGCACATTGATTGGACACAGTTACTTCCCAGTATGTGTTGTGCCTTCAGCTGCCACCAACCACAGCAGCTGGCAAAGACTTGGCTGCTTTCCTGTGCCACCCCAAGTCCTTGAAAGATGGGAAAGTTCTGATGGCCCAAGTCCAGTTTGCCCAAATTATCTTTTTCTGTGTGTGTTTTCCCCCAGCTTTAACTCCAAAGCCAAAAGGTAAGTAGTTATCTGCAGCCTGCAGAAAGGGCTCCCTTCTTCCTTTCTATAGTGTCGGGGGTTCCCTCGCCCCTGTTTTTAGTGCCTACTACTAGGGATGCTAAAGCCAGCCTGATAACAAAGCGCACACCATGTGGAATATGATCGACATTTTCCTGTCCAAAATACGGTTTTTTTGGGAAGCCTATATCTCTAACCAGTTTTTTCCTAACAGGGGTCCATTTGCTCTGACTACTGTATCACCATGTGGTGCCCTATGTGCTCCGTTTGCCAAATCAAGAGAGACATCAATCGGAGGAGGGATCTGGGCATATTCTGGTAAGCTGGGCATGATGCTGGTTTTAAAGCTGCAGTTGCACATGGCCAAGCAGTTTCCTGGAGTCTCTCCTGCCAACACCTGACATAAGACACAGGGTTGCTGCAGTGGGGAAATGGCTGTGGACAAGTGACAAGAATGACCTGTCCTGCAGCAAAATGTTACTGGGAACCTCATGCAGGACAGAGGGGGAAGGAGTGGACACACACACACGGTGTGGTGAGACATGGCCCTGGTCCCTGACCCTCCTCTCCCATCCTGTTGCAGATGCTGCCATCCTCTCTGCACTGCTGCCCTGGCTGTTGGGAAAGGCACCAAAAAGCTGAGCCTTTGCCTTGATTACAATTGACTCCTTCTTTCTTCAGAAACGTTATGAATAAACAGCAGTTTACCTTCCTGCCTCTGTGTGTGTCACTCTTGCATTGCCTGAGAGCACCGATCCATCTGTCTCAGGACCACAAACCTTGTAAAGGGCAGGTACAGGTTCTGTCTGTGCTGTGGGGTGAGTCTGTGTTGTAGTGCTCCCACCTGCCTAAACCCCAGATGGCCCAGACAATAGTGTACAGTCCCTGGAAATACAGAAAACTAGATTTTTAGCCTAGGAGAGGTAATGACCAGGAATGGGGAGAAGGGGAGAAAAGAAATACCATGATGCCAGCTCATCCAGCACAGCGTGGTATGATTTCAGAGCTGTACCTCGAGGCAGCACCTGTGTCACCCCGTGGAGTTACGGTCAGTTCTTCCTTAGGCTTAATGAAGGAAAGGTGCTGTGCCTCCAGTGGCACATGGCTTAAGGCAGCACAGGAGCCAGAATGCTAACTGTCCTTTTCTGAAAACCCTTACTGAAAGTGGTGTGTCCCATTGGAGCTCTGGGCCTGCAGGATGCTGGGGTGGGGAAAGGCAAGGTGGGGCAGCAGGAGCATGTCAGAAGCAGCAGAAAGCTTGCTCTTCATCAGGGAAGGTGCAAATTTGCAAAACAGCACCTAAAATGGCATCTGGTCTGTTAGAGGGAGCAGAGGTCGCTCACCAGGGAACACCCACAGCATATAAAGGGTGAGAACCAGGAAAGACATGTCTCCTGGGACAAGGGCGGCTCTGCAGGTATGTATGGCTTGGCTTTGCGTTGGCAAGAGCTGCAGTGCAAAACTGGGAACTGCTAGAGGTCGAAGTGGTATTGCTGGGGAAGGGGAAGCAGTGGAAACAGGTGAGGTTTTCTACCTGGAAAACTGTTTCAGAGCTAAACCAGAGCGTGCCAGGTGCTGCTGAGGGCCATCTCGACAGAAGTGGGCAGCAGAGATAAAAGGATGGCAGCTTTTGTACTTTTGGAGAGCAAAGGAAAAAAGCCCCTCTTGCAGCCTGCCTGCAAAGGGCACAGTGTGTACGTGGCCGTGAGCACTGCTCAGCACATTTTCACTGTGGACTGCTATTAATTTGGCAGTGGGGGAGCACCTCTTTTGGCATGGGAGGCTGGTGGGGTCCTGCCCCTACACCTCCTGTTGCCGCTCATGCTCCTGTGCTGTCCCTGTCTGGGACCCCGCGCTGTCCCTGCATGGAACCACATGCTGTCCCTGCACCATATCCCTGCCACACGGCCCATCTTTAGTCCATCCCCTCTTGTGGTTCATGCTTCTTTTTAAATCATCCCATGTCTAGGCTCCCCATAGGGGCTCCTGCTTTGGCATGTCATAGGGTGGCAGGAATTCCCTGCGTACAGCTGGACAGGGCAGGGGGTGTCTAGCGAGGGCTGATGGGTGCTGTGGCCTCTGTTACACCCATTGCTGGTGAGGTTGCCTGCACTTGCTACAGAGGCCCCTGCCATCAGCTGGGTGACTTGTACCACAGAGGGCACAGCAGCATTTTTATGCTCAACAGCCCTGTTCAGTAGCAGCAGGAAAACACTTTGTATTTTAACCCTCAGTGGAGGCTGGTGACTGAAGCAATCCCATGAGTTGTCACTCTGCCCATCAAGGCAGCTTGTCACCTAATAGTATCAGATACCAGAGAGGGTTAGCCCAGCCACGCTGCTATTACCTTCAGAAAGCTGCAAAAAGTCATATGCAAATAACATGGAGACTTTTTACAAGCCTGCTTCCCTCTTACAGCATAATTCATCATCCCTTTTCCTCTCCATGTACTACCCTGGGACATACAAAGGTTGGCCATATGACAACAGGCTGTGTCTGACAGCAGAGATGTTCTCATGCCAGTTGGGGTGCTGCAGGAGCTGCCAGTAGTGACAATAGTCACTACAAAAGCAGTGTCTCTCTGGTGTCAGCCATGGGTAATGACATCACCTGAGTGTTGGGCACAGTAATATATTTATTCCACTGTATTCTCAGAGACTTGCATTTAATACTTAAATTCTGTGTAGATGTGTCACTATAATGTGAAAACCATCCAATTCCCTTTATAGTGTTTTAACAGAATTTAAAGGGATTAAAGCCATCATCCCTTGCTGCAAGATGTAAATGCTTCTCCTGTTTTTGCTCCTCACAGTGTGCCAAAACTCTGCTGCTCCCTTGTCACACAAGGGCAGGGGAGGGCTGCTTGGTGGGCATCCCCAGCTGTCACCCAGGCAGGCAGGACAAAGGCATCTAAGCTGGGCAGGGGAAGGCAGGACACAAAGTGTCCAAAGGTGTTCTGTTAAACACCTGTAATGCCCACTGCAGAAGAGGAACTCCCCTGGGAGCTGCACTGGGACTCCTCCCAGGAAGAGGAGCAGCAGCCCAGTTACAGGGTGCAAAGCTCAGGCTGCTTCCCTGTTGATGATTTCTTTGCTGGGGATGTGTGGCTGTGCATTGGAAGCAGGAGAGAGTCCTTGTAGCTGTAAGAGCACGGGATCCTTGCATCTCATCCATTCCCATGCTGCTTAGCAGGGCAGTGCAGAGCTTGGGCACAGGGCAGGTAGTGTGTCTGCACGGGACTTCCTATGGGAACATCCTGTTTATTTTCCTTTTCCTTTTTTAAAATAAAGCTTCAAAGCTGAAGTGAGAATGGCAGAGGGTGGTACCTTGCAGGGGGTGGCAGGAAGGGAAGGGATGGCACATGGAGGTGGAGATGGAGGTGCAGGTGGAGTCCTTATATGAGTCAGATGAGTTTGAGGATGGTGCTGCAGAACAGGAGCTCTGCTGCTCTTGAAGGCTGCAGCCCCTCACTTGGGAAGGAGTGGGGCTTCAGAGGCCACGGTGGCCCAGGGAACCATGGAAGAGGAGATGAGGATGAGGCACTGGCACAGACAGGCAGGTGGAAGAGGGGTGGGAACTGGTGATTGGGCTTAGAGTGAAGGAAAGGGACAAGGAAAACCCGCTGCCTTGAAACCTGCTAAGAAAGCAGACGAAGAAGGAAGGAAAAGAGAGAGGCAAACAAGCTGAGATGCTCAAGGAACAAAGCAAAGATTAAGTAGACTCTCAGATCTTGGGAAAGCCAGGGCCAAGCTGTAGTAGCTTTGGGACACTGGAAACATTTAAAAAAAACCCAAAAACCATTTTAAGCAGATAATGATGGAAGATGAACTGAGGATCAGAAGACAGGATTGAAGAGTTGAAGCACTGAGGCTCTGAAGCAGAAGGACCTCTGTTTTTAAAGAGGCCTTTTAGCTGTATAGGCAGGGAGATGAGGTGCTGCTGTTTTATGGGAGGACTCTGCTGCAAACGACAGCAGCGGCTCCTGGCAGAGCTGCGCCCCTACTTTGTGGTGGGCAGGGTAGTATCCTGGCAGAGGGGACCTCTCAGAGACCTGTGCTCCCTCTCCATCTTCAAATGCAGCAGCCTGAGCAAGACAACCCCTTCAGAAACCCCTGAGGCGTTTTTTTCTGATAGGTTTTCCTTCCAAACCACAAACTGCCTGGAGGGACTCAACCCCACACCAGCAATGGCCTCTCACTGTATGGTGACAGTCCAGCCCCAGCTCTGGGCTGCCCCGCGGGTGGGCCAGTGGCAGACAGGGCTGATGGACTGCGGCTCCGACGGCGGTGTCTGTGAGTATTGCTGTACCACTTGCTCCTGGTGTTGGCACACAATGTGTTTTCTGGCATTTTCCCGCTCCTTCTGTGGCATCGACCCTGCTGCAAAGCCCACTTCTGTGGGTACCAGCAGCAGAGCAGCTCTTGCCTGAAGTCAAGAGCCACAGCTCCCACAGCCACATCCCCAGCCAGCTTTTCCCCCCCTCCTCCTCCTTTGCACCCCTCAGCCAGGTCTGTGTCTTGCTGTCCCACAGGTCTTTGCGGAACCTTCTGCTTCTTCTGCCTCTCCTGCCAGGTGGCTGGGGACATGAATGAGTGCTGCTTGTGTGGCTCCAGCGTGGCCATGAGGACCCTGTACCGCACCCGATACAACATCCCTGTCAGTGAGGGACCGTGAGGCCTGCCCTGCTGGCAGCAGCGCCCACAGACTGGGTGCTGGGCTGCAGGCTCGGGGCAGGAGAAAGGGGCACCCGAGGGGAAGAGCATCAGCAGGGAGTCGCATGGGCAGCCCTGCAGGCAGGGAGCCAGGAAAACACCTGCATCCTTGCCATGAGCCGGGGGTAATCCCACTGCAGACTGCCTCATCCCAGTCCTTGCCATGTGCTGTGGGGCTGGCAATGAGCTGCCCACGGGTGTGACAATAAAAAACAGGAAAACTTAGAATCTGACGTGGGAAGGGGTTGTTCATACAATGTCCCTTGCTCTGCAGGGTTCCATTCTGGCTGACTACCTGTCCAGTGTGTGCCTCCCCATGTGCTCACTCTGCCAGCTGAAAAGAGACATCAATTGGAGGAAGGAGCGGGGCATATTCTGGTAAGCTGGGTATGCACATGCAAAGACACGTGCTGTGGTGAGGCACAGCCCTGCTCCCTGACACACCTTTCCCATCCACTGCAGATATGTACTTGTGGAACTCTGTGAAGCTGCCTTGGGTAGGAGTTACTGCTGCCCTGGCCTTTGGGAAATGCACCACGGCAGGTTTGCCTTGATTGTGGTTGATTCCCCCTTCCCTGGATCAGAAATAAACAGCAGAGTTTGCCTTCCT